TAAATTTTGAAGGTACCAATGAAGATAAATATACAAATCTTAAAAATTTAGAAACATATGCCAATTTTTTACGAAGTGTTGAACTCGACTGTATAAGTTACATCATTAAAAATTTTGGCGCATCTTGTAAGCAATTTGAAAGTCTTAAGGATTTTAAAGATTATATTGATATTCTTTTGGATATAATTCTTTATGGTTTTTATCATGACATTTATGGTAAAAAAATTTTTGATATAATTCTTGAAATCTTTGAATTTATCAATAAATTTCGCCCAATCCACAAAAAATCGTATCTAAGTTTTTATACAAGCTGCTAAACAGTAATATATATCGTTGTATTTTAGCCATATAAACTAATCATAAAAAAATTAGTTAAAATTAAATTGATCATTAACGTTAAAAGAAAAAATATTAAATTTAGAGAATATAAAAATGCAAATTACTTCCAAACATACCATATTTTAATGCTTTAAATGTCAAGTTTTTTTCTCTTTCCATTTTTAAAGTAGTCAGGGGAAGTGAACGCCATCCTTAAGCACTTTTGCTTGCTGTATAAATTTTTTAAACCCGAAAAATAAAAGTCAAAGCGAAGAAGCACCAGAATTTTAATAAAAATTTTTGTGAGTTTTTTATTAAAGTAAAATAATTTTTTTATACAAAATTAAATAATTAAAAGCTTTATTTAATTAATAGTAATTCTTAAACGTTTTTTAAATGTATCAGATGAAAAAATTCTTTCAGACGACAAAAGGTTTAGAAAGCTTTAAATATCTCTTTGACATTGATAATTTAAATGATTTTTTCTAATGCTTGCCGATGTTCCTTCTATTGTATTTGTGTGCATAACTGTTCCACTATTTATAAAATTGACAGAATAATTAACAAATAGATAAATATAATGGTAGTTGCCAAAATTATTGTAGTCTTTCCACTTAACAGTAAAAATTATACTTACCTTTTTGACATACTTTTTTTAAAACTTTCTAATATCTCTGCTTTTCTTTATCTTATTAAATTAAAACTATTTTTCTTTCAGGTGTTCTTTTCACCATCCTTAAAACTTATATACCGTTTATACGGTAACCACGATGAAATTTTTATTTTCCAAATTTAGATTCATAAACTTCAACAATGATATTAAAACCATCTATTAAACCTTTTTTAAAATGTAATACTACCTACTTGTTTAAAAAAATTTGAACTTTATTTTTACAACATCTGTTCTTAAACTTATAACTCTAAATTTAATATTTAGAATCGACAAAAATACAATTTTAACATTTTTTTAAACATAATTTTTTAAAAAAGGGCTTTTTATTCATAAAAGAACCCTTTTTCTTTCAATTTTTACTCGAGCACTCAATAACATTGCTTTACTTTTAAAATATTTTAGATTTTCCAATAAGCATGAAAAAAGACACTAATTATTTTGTCTATCATTTTTTACAAAAATTTAGCAATATTTTTACCTCTTCTTTCATTTTGATTTTTTGGGATAAAAAATTTTAAACGACAGGCAAAAATGCGTCTGTTTATAGTTTACTTTAACCTGTTATAAAACAAATGTATAAAAATACTGCTCTATTCCATAATATTTTTTGGCGTTTTTTAGTTTCTATCAATTTCTTTTTCGATAAATTTTGTTTGTTTCTATGTAAGCAAAATTTAAATAAAAAACAATATAATGTTGTTTTATATTTCATTATATACAAAAATAGGAATATTGTAAGAAGCTTTAACTATGTTGACAAATCGCACGTCTCGAAATCAAATCACAAATTTTGGTAATAAAAAATTTATGATATTAACTACTTATAAACATTTACCACCTAAATATGTCATATAATTATACAAGCATAAAAACATTAAAGAATTTAATTTGTAAAATATATATCAAAAAGTAAAAAAATTTCCTACATCAAAAAAATCTTCATTTTCCGAATATTTAAATATTTCAGAAAAATTAGTATTAGATACGCTAGTATTAGTAGGTTCATCTTCACTTATAGAACGTTTTCTTTTATTTATAATATTTTCAGAATCCAAATAATTAATATAAGAAATAATAAGCCTACATGCATCCTCTTTTGCTGCTTTCATGTCGTACGCATAACGCGACTCAAACTTTTCATTCATAAAAAAAGCTTTACAGAAATATACACCATTGCTTTTTTCAAATACATATTCAGGAAATGCAATATTCTTAGTAGAACAATAATTTGATATTTTTTCACTAAATAATTCTTTTGGCTCTGTTAGAATGTTATTTTTGTTTTCATTAGTATCCTCACAAAAACTTGGTATATATCTATTATTTTGAATGTTTTTCATTCTCATTTTACCTCTAGCACTTTTTCCATTAGATTTTGTGTTAGATTGTGTATTGTTATAAGTACTAATGAGCTTAGTGCTTTTTTCAACCGAGGCTTTTTTTGCCGGCTTATTGTTCTCAATTTGTTGTCTATTTTTGTGCAATTTAATTATTTCACTTACTACTTGATCAATTAAACAATCAAGTTCAGCGTAACTATAAATCTGTAATTCTATGTTAAAAATGCTTACAATAAAAGTTTTATCGCTTTCTATAATTCTTGGTAAAGGTAAGTGTGGAAAGTACAATGAGTACTTTTTAACTACTTTATTAAATTTATCCATTTATGTTTTAAGGGATGAAAATAATATGTTGAGATAAAAATATAGAAAGCAAAACTTTTACAAATTATAAATATTTAGCATCGAAGCCAACCTTATGCGTATTTAACTAAATTTCTTCAGAATAAACTTGAACAGCTTAACTACTCAGCGATGTTTTGAAGCCGTATTGGTAAAGAATTGATAAATTTGCAGGGGAAAAAGTAATAGGATAGGGAAATAATTAAGGAGAGAATTTGAAGACCCCGTTAAAATAAATTGATAGATATGACAATTTCCACTAAAAAATAAGGGTCTTTAAATATTAAACAATTCTTTATACGTAATTATTGCATTGATTCAAAATTAATTCAAATTTTAATAGTAAGAATTTATAAATTTAAAAAATAATTTATCTTGACTTATATTTTTTTAAAGTACAAATTAAAATTTTATTGCACTTATATTTTTACTTAATAACAGAAGTTTACTAAATTTTGTCTAAATGTTAAAATTTGTAGTTTAATATATATAAGGGCAAATTTAAATACCAACATATCCAAACGTAAACGATTAGATTTTATTCAATATTTCTGTATATTATAAAAAAATAATTTGTGAGATGTTTATTACAAAATTTTGTTTGATCGTCGTGTTAAACATTCGCTTACATATTAAAAGTAATTTAAACTTCAGCAAAAATGAATTATGTTAAAATTTAATACGAAATAAATAAACTGTCAAGTATAAAAAAATTGTTTATAATTAAATATGTAATAAAAGTAATTAATTTATTTTATAATTTTTTTATATCATCATATACCATTTTAAATTCATCGTTAACTGATATATTTATTTTTAAAAAATTTTCGATTTTTTTCATAGTATCATTAATAATATTAATAGACAAATCTTCTGAATTATGTTTATGCTTTATGTAATACAACAATAAAAACATGTTAATATCCATATCAAACTTTAAATCTTCATTCTTATATTCTTCATAAACAAAATTGTAACAACGTTGTAAATCCTTAAGACGCTGTAATATTTTTTTACTCTTATAAATAAATTCATAAATATCGTAATTAAGAATACAATCTAATATTTCTTCATTCTTAAACATTCTTTTCTTAATATTTATCAAACAAATCATTTTATCTGCACTTTGTTTATTTATGATTTTTAATAAAATCAAATAATAAATTAAAATTTGTGTATCAGTGCTAAAATCATCTAAAAGTTTACAATCTTTAGTATAAATATCTAGTAAAGATCCTTTTAAATCTTGTACATTGTTGTCAAATTTGTATCTAGAATTTAATAAATTATAAGAAATAGTAGAAATGACATCCTTTTCCTTATTTTTGCTAATTATATCTACAACATTTACCGGAAGTTTACAGAAAAAAAGAGCTTTGTAAATTTGACTGGGTAACTTTTTTCCAAAATAATCTTCAAAATTATTTGGTACAGCTTCTGTATCTTTATAAAAACTGACAATGCCTTCTTCTTTCATCACAGGATGAAAATCAATAAGAATAAATGCGGCATAAAAGATATCTTGATACTTCTTATATGCATCTAGATGCCTTGCTTGCTGTTCTAAATAAACATCCATTTCACTGTTCTTAACTTTAGCTAAAACATTTTCAAAAAGAAATTTATCTGCATATTCCGGTAAAGTGGGACAAAATTCACATCCCAGTGCAAAAGCAAGAATTTTAAAGCTTTGATGATTTAACTCAAAATGCTTCATAAAAAATTTCTTATTAAAAACAGTAAACATAAATTGATTAATGTTCTCTAAATGTAATTCTATAATTATTTTTTCGACACCTTCAAAAATAAGTGTATCAGTTTTACAAAAAGCGTAATTACAAATTTTATTTTGTAAAAAATAAGCTATTTGTGCTGTAGCCAAGTATGGTGCTCGTACAGCTTCATGTCCAAACTGTTTTAATAAATCGTTTATCTGTAAAACATAAGATTCATAATCAATAAGCGACTTCCAAGTTAAGTTAAGATTTTTTGTATCGTTAATTTTTAGTGCTTCATACCCTTGCTTGAGCAATGTTATATTATCTCTAGCAAAATCACTTTTAGGTTTCTTAAAACTAAGACCATCCCAAACCCAAAGAATTTGAAATTTAGATACACTAGCCATTTTTATAAGCTTAAAAAAAGGAGCTAGTATCCTTTCGTCACACTTGCTTATAAAAAAATCTGTCATATCACCGGGTTGAACGTATTTTCTCAAAAACCAAAATCCATCTATTGCAATAATTGAATCTTTTAAAACATAAGCTTGTGCTTTAGCAATCCAATTGTTTAAAGAAGAATTTTGAATTAGTTCAAGACTTCTGATCGGCATAAGGGTTTAAAATTACAGCAAATAAAAAAAATTTTATATAATATTTTATTAAATTCATTCTATTAGACAACAGGCAAATGATGACAAGAATCTTTTAAACCAAGATTTGTCTTTTTTTAAACTTTCCTTGATAGCATATTTTGCAACTTGTTCAAATAGTTCGTTCACACCGATATTTAATTTTGCAGACGTTTCGAAATAAGCCGCTGCTTCAATTTGTTTAGCTAAAGACATTCCTTCACTTCTAGTTATTGGGGAATCCCCCTCTGCTGCCAATTTTTCTAATGTGTGAACATCATCACGTAGATCGATTTTAGTCGCAGCTAAAAAAAATTTTGCTTGAGGATTTATTTCTTTAATCTGAGGTATAAATGTATCAGAAACTTCTTGAAAAGATTTCCTGCTATCAACGTTAAAACAAATTAAAACATAATGAGCATTTGGTAAAGCTAAATGTCGAAATCTACTAAATTCATCTTGACCAGCAGTATCCCATAATTTTAATTCTACAACGTGATTGTCTTCTTTAAATTCAACAGTAGCAGAGGTAAATACAGTTGGTTCCAATTTTTCATCAAATTTCTGATTTATACGTCTATTTAATATACTTGTTTTTCCGCATGTGCCATATCCTAAAACTGTTAATTGCTTTGAAAGACTATTTTTATTTTCATTCATAAGGGGATAAAATTATTATTTGATACAAGGAAATGTTAAAAAAGAATCAAATTTATTAAAGTGGTTAAATTGAACAAAGATAGTTTAAAAATATTGAAAAAAAGACAAATTTTTATAAGAAGTCAATTACAAAGTTTTAATGATCAATTTTTGTTTAATTAAACTTTTACTAAAAACCATAATTTGTTATAAAAGCATGTATAGCTGACAGGTAAATAAATTTATATATTTTAATAAAACAATAAACATTAGTTAAATGCGATAACAAAACCCCAATCTCTAAAAAGTATAAACACAATCTATTTATAATTCTTTTTAACATTTTGCAATTTATTTTTCCTATGTTTTCTATTTATTCTTTTTTTAATTCTATTGTACGCACACTTTACTTCTTCAGTAATATATTCATCAGTGGGTGCATTTAGTTCATTATGCTTAGTCACATCTAAAGGTTTATAGACAGCACCAATATATCTTTCATAACATATTTGATCATTTTTATTCATAATTTTACCAATCAATCCCCACTGTGGTTTTAGATGCTTAGATATTTCTAATAATTTTTTTATATCTTCTTCTGTCCAGTTATCATCACTCAGTATATAGTTCTCATATCTTTCTTTGCATTCCAAAGCAGTTCGTTTTAACAAGGAAGCTACTTTATTCCACTTGTTGATACCATATTTCATAACTCCCATTTTTAGTATGTCATCTTCTGATTTTTTCCATAAATTATTTTCTCGTTCTAATGCCATTAGGGGGATCCAATTTGATTAAAAAAGCAATTAATAAAAAGTCAAGTTTAATGTATATGGATTAACTACTTTTACTACATTTCTTGTCATTTTTAATATCTTCTAAAATATTTCTTATAAGATTGACAATATTTAATATATCTTCATATGTTAATAGTTTTTTTGATTTAACACTTAAAAGCTTTGCTATATATTCTGTGTTTACAAATGACATTTCTTTACAATTTTCTAATATGTTAATAACCGTCTCTTTAATGTCTATCGAATCTTCTTTTTTAATTTCCGTGCTTATTAATCTTTTAAAACTACTTTTATCCAAATAATCTATTTTTTGTATTGTGTTTATTAAATGATTAACATTTCTATTGATTATTGATTCTTCATAACAATACTGGTTATCAATTATTAGCTTTAGAATATTTAGAAATTCTCCGCCAATCAGTTCTTTCCTGTTAAATTTATCTAATTCCATATTTTCTAATCGACTAATATTATTTGAGTAAACTTTGTACTTTTCTAGTTGTGCATATTTCGATCGATTAAGCTTTTCTATAAAAATTTTATAATTAAACATTATATCACAAGAATCATCTATCTCTTCTTCCATAGTTTTATTTGTAAAATCTGACATATATTCAAATATCTTATCCTTTTTAGTGTTGTATTTCTGGTTAATATATTCTAAAAAATATTTATATTTTAAAGTTATATTAGTTTCGTTAAAAATTTTTTCATTAATATTTTCTTCAGTCTTCAATGCAGAAACAAGCTTACTAATGTTTTCTATATCATCATCTAAACTATTTATATTGTTTTTATAGCGCTCATTGAAAACTTCTAATGTATCAAATACAAGATTTTTAAATGTTTCTTCTTTCATTTGCAGTAATCTTTTACGCATTCTATGATTACCAGGTTTTTTATAGTCTAAATTTGTGCGCCGATGTATTTCATTGACAATATCGAATACAAACTTTTTGAAATCTTTAGAAATTAGTTTTTTTACTTTTCCTATTGTAGCAGCTTTTTGTTCATACGGAGTAGTGTTGATATGATCTTCAAGGTAACTTTTTAATGTATATCGTGTAATCTCCTTATCCATTAAATTTGTTTGTATCAAAACCTTTTTGTTTTTGTGCTTGATTTGTATCAAAATGAAACAATAAGAAAGACTAATTGTTGAAACAAAATAGGTTTAATTATTAATATATTTACATTTCACTAATTTCCAAAATGGATATTAAACATATTGACTTGATTTTATTACTCTTATACCAAAAAAATACTATTTAATAACCCTTTAATGAGCATTCCTTTTGTCGAAAAATATAGACCAAAGTCCTTTGATGAGGTCGAAGGAAATCAAGAAGTCATTGCTTGTTTAAAAGCTATACAAGAATCTAGAGTTATCCCCAACATGTTATTTTATGGTCCACCTGGTACCGGTAAAACGACATCAATAAGAATTATTTCAAATTCTTTTCCTAACACAAGTGTTCTTGAACTTAACGCAAGTGATGAAAGAGGTATTTCTGTTGTAAGAGAGACTATCAAAGAATTTGCCTCTACGTATAGTAATACTATTAAGCTTGTAGTATTAGATGAAGTAGATTTTATGACGAGAGATGCACAGAATGCTCTTAGAAGAATTATGGAGGATTTTAGTTCTACCACTAGATTTTGTTTGATAGCCAATTATCCTAAAAAAATTATCACACCAATTACTAGTCGATGTTCTAAATTTAGATTTAATCCAGTAAAAATTTTTAGAAAAAGCGTTTTAGAAATTTGTAAAAAAGAAAATATAGAAGTAGAGTACACGGGAATAGATTTTTTAATGAAGACGAGCTATGGCGACATGCGCAGGGTTGTTAATGATATACAAGCTATTGGTAAATCATTCGGTATTATAAATCAAGAGACTGTTCTTAAGTTTAATTCCATGTTAAGTACTGAAGAATTTAAAGAAATTTTTGACTGGTTTCTTTGTAAATCTTATGATGCATTATTAAGAGATCTAGAAAGCATTAAAGAAACCAAATCTTTAGACCTAGCAAATTTGTTGTTATTGTTAACTGATCACGTTGTTCAATCTTCTTTAGAAAATAAAATGGAGATATTAAAAAAAATGAGCGATATAGAATGCCGTCTTAATCTTGGATGTAGTGAAAAACTGCAGCTTAAAGGACTAGTAAGCATATTTATCTTGCTAAGAAATAAGCAAAAATGCAAATAACACTATTAAGACTGGTTAGTGAAGTTAACAACGGTTATATTATTATTTAACAATTTTTATGATTAAAAATTATTTTTTTTATAAAATTTTACTTTTGTTTTCCTTCTTACCCTTAATGAATAATGAAACAGATTTAGACGTTTACTTATTATCACTTATAGATTCTCTTATAATAGACAATCAAGAAGTCACAAAAGACTTTTCAGATATTTTTGAAGCTATTAATAATATTTTAGCAGAAAACTCTTCACTTTTTTACGTTGTTAATAATTCTAAATTTTTAGAAAAAGGCTTTTTATTGTGTCTCAGATGTGAGGAATCATTTAATGAAGCACTAGATTTTTTTACTTTTAACATTGATAACATTATTTTTCCTGATTTATTTTACACAAAAAAATTTATATTTTTTATAACAGAAAAATTATATGAAAAAATTTATGATAATTACAATCCAATATTGGATTTTATCCAAAAGTTTATTTTAAAGCACGAAAGTATAATTAGTTTGCTTTATGAATGCGGATTTTTTAGTCTACTAAACAGTATTATTGATACAAAAACATGTAAGATATACAATACTATTTTTGCGAACCGTATTTGTACGTTTAATTCTGATAAGAAAGATACAAAAATGAATAAAGATTGTTTTTATGAGCTTCATAGAAAACAATTTGATTCTGAAATTATATTTAATGAAAATAATATAATTAACTTTAAAACATTTAATCCTTTTGTTCAAGGTTTTACTATACACAACAAAATTTATGAAGGTTTAGAACATTCATCGTTGTATAACTTAATTGAATATGACATAAACGAAATGGATTGGGTTATTAATTTTAAAAAAAATGACTATAAAGACATTTTAAATGTCGAAGATGTTTTACAAGGTTGCTATGATAAAAAAATCACATTTATTCGGATGGCACGTATGTATTTATCTGACACTAAAGAAATGAAGGATAGAAATTTTTTAAAAAAACTTTGCAAATTTTTAGATGATAAGGATTATCTTTTGCGTTATGAAGTTTTACTTATTTTAAGTCAACAAGAAATTGTTGTAAATTTAAATGAAAAAAAAATTCGTGCTATTTTTGGAATGCTAGAATACAATATCACTGAATGTACAAAATGCAGCGAAAATGGAGATAACGAGCTATCTACAGAAGATGGTGGTGAATGCGATGGAGAATGTACACTTCTTTGTATACTTGACATGTTATATCAAATTTACTTATCTCATAACAAATTATATTTTTATAAAATTAGTTATTTAATAATTCTAAAAGAACTTAGCAAACGAGTTGGTCATATTTTTATAGCAGAATATCTAAAAGATATTATTATGTATTTTAAAGAAAATAAAAATAATATCAGTCGTGTTTTATTTCCTTATCAGACAAAAATTACAGCAAAAAATGAAAGCGAAAACAATTTAAACACAGAAGACTTGTTAGATAAAAAAGAAATTTTAAATATAGAAGATCATTCAGAAACAGAAAATAATTTAATTAAATAAACCAGCAGCCATTTCTGCATGTCTTTGTGTGTGAATGACATCTTTAAGTTCTTTTATCCTTTTTTTATGTACTTTTGTCTTAAGATGTGAAGCTAACGAATTTTCCGAAATAAAAAATCTATCACATTCCATACAGTAAAATTTTCCATTACTAGGCACTTCATCTAAATTTTCTGGTTTGATATTATTTTTAATATTATTTTGTATTTGATCTAGTCCTAATACGCCTTCTTTTTTTAATCTATTAACAACAATTCTTCGTTTACATCTTTTTTTATATTTTTGAGTGGTTTTTTGGCGCATAATTTTTGGGGATGTCAAACAAAAATTTAATGTTTACAGTTAATAAAAATACTAACGTAGAATGTATATAACATTTTTAGGCATTAAACTATAAAATATCAAACATACAAAAATATTAAGTGTATCATCTATTTGTTGTTAAGTTTTATTTTTATAAAAGATCATAATTTGTATTAAGTTTATTGTTTTGAAACTATTTAAATATTTTAATTGAGTTATATCAAGGTCATGTTATCTTTAAATTCTGACATTAAGTAAACTTATTTTATAATTTATTGTTTTTATTCATTCCATATTCAAATTTAACAGAACGAGTTAAAGAATAATTATTTATGAAATATCTATATTTTATAAAAATGAATAAATATTTTATTTAAGTACAAAGATATATAATTTAATATAATGCTTAATAAAAATTTATCAGTTGTATTTTTAATTTAGATGCACATTTACAACATTTAGTGACCCTTAACACTTTAACAATTTTAATATAATTTATATTTATTTATAATATAACTATATCAAACAATCATTATTTGTAATTTCCCTTAAATGTTAATTTACAAGTATATATGCATATATTAAAAAATAAATTTAGTAAACAAAGTTATTAATTTTATGCAAATTTATTATAAATAAATTCGTAGAAATAAATATCATAAAATATTATTGAAATAAAAATTAGTAAGATAGATTCATTAATTACACTAATGATTCCAAACTTTTAGTATTAAGATTTAACTTTGGCATATTTAGTTTTATAAATTTGATAAATATTATACAAGCGAGAACAAAACCAAATATTAATAATCCTAAAGGTATAAAAACCAACTTATTATAAATTTCAAATGAAATAAATATTATCGGTAAAAAATATAGAAATAAAAACACAATAAATCCTGTCTTTAGCATACGTATCTGATTGAAATATAAATAAAAATGTAAAATTGCATAAACAAGCACGGATGATATGCGCCTGTTGTCAATAGCCTTTATTAAAATCAAGCAAGACAAGTTAATAAGAAATGAAATATAAAAACCAATAACACCAATCAAAGACAAACAATTCTGCATTGTTAATATATTCAATATGTCTACTACCACCATTCCCGTAAAAATTAATTTTGAATTTGTGTTCACCAGACAGGCCAGTATTGCATATCTTAAACTTAAATGGAATATTTGCCTGTAGGTTAAAAAATCAACTCTAAAAATATTTCTTATAATTGGAATTACTAAGAAAATAAGAAGTCCTATAAAAATATATAGATTTAAATATACAAGATCGATAAATAAACCAATAGGAATTAGTAATACATTTGAAACCAGTCCTATAAAAAATAACAGATAACAAGTAATGTTAATTCTATCAAAAACTCTTACCATTACATAAGATTCCTTTTCCCTGTCTAAGTGATCAATTACATTATCTCCCATCATATCATAAAAGTCCTTTTTATAAGGATCTTTAAGAATATTATAGGCTTTATTTAGCTCTACAAATTCTTTATCTCCTTTTCTGCTAACAATAGGATGCACCTTTTTTGCTCTATTTTTGTAAGCTTTTTCTATTTCAATTTTACTAGAATTTTTATGAACATTTAAAATATCGTACAAACTCATTAAAGGGTACTTAATTGAAATGTTATGTTATATATTGAGTACAGATGCCTTATAGTCAAAAATATTCAGATTCAAACTTTTTATATATATTTATTTTATAAATAAACCTATGGTATGTCTAACTTTATAAATCGTGGCATTGTCTTTTTAAAATTTTCTTATTTTCTGCCCTTTGATGGCAGATAGATCTTTTTTCTCAGAAGTTAATGAATTTAGTTCCAGTGATGACACCATATCTGAATGCTCAGATTTATTTGAAAATGATATTTATCCATTAAAAGGAGATGATTTTGATAAATTAAAAGACCAACTTAGTAAAACAAGGAATTGGAATAAAGAATTATAATTATATTTACAAAGAGTTATTTTTATTTTTTAAATGTTTTATTTTTAATACAAAAAGATTTAACTACCATTTTATTTTTAATACAAAAAGATTTAACTACCATTTTATTTTACAAAAAGATTTAACTACCAGTTAATTTTTTACAAAAAGATTTAAATACCATTTTATTTTACAAAAAGATTTAAATACCATTAGATTTTTTTATTGCTAAAAAGTGATTTAGAACATTATAAATACTTTTACTTATAAAAATAAAAGAAACACATTTGTAAAATTTCATGACATTTCAAGATGGATTCGATATGCCTATACTTAAATGATTTATAAACTCTTGATTTACTCTAACAATTATTAAGACAATAAAGTTTATTTAAATTTAGCGGTGAATTAAAAATACTAAACTTATTAATAAATATACATATACTGAAAATTTATGTACTTCTTTTATAAAAAGATAATTTACAATTACTTGGTTTACCATTAATACATTTCTGTCTCCACAATATATAAATCTTAATAATACTGTATTTACAAAAAATGTTATAAGTAAAGAACTAACATTCTTACTTTTATATCCTCTATTTTTTAATATTTTACTAATTATTATATATAGAGAGATAATAGGTACTAATAATAAGAATAATCTAGAATGTATATTATCTTCTATAAGTACATTATTAATAATATGTCTTGTATGTTCTATAATTTTTTGAATTAATGAAATTTTAGGATAATTTAACATTATTTTAGTAGTATCGTCATTTCTTTCATTATCAGAAATATACCACAGCCTGTGCTTATTATTGCTGTAAATACTAGCATACACATTTAATTCATCTTGTTTATTCTGATTTATTTTCCTCATTCCTAGATACAATCCAGTATTAACATTAACGAGTTGAAAGGCATTCTGCCTTGCTTTTAATTTTTTATCACACACAACTCTAAATATATCATTTTTTGACTGTAACACTTTATCTCTGTCTGATAGTTCTACATTAAAAAACTTATCAGTATTATTTACATTATTAAGTGAAAGAACTGTTTGTAATTTCATATTTACAAGTCTAACTAAATCATTATTCTGTATATCACCTTCTCCCTCTGTTTTTAATATACGCCATACATTATTATCCTGACTTCTTCTATTACCCAATACACTGTCTTTACCTTGACTACCTAAATAACATTTATGATACATGTTTATTATTGAAATTAAGGAACCATGAGTTATATATTCATGTGTAGGCTGTAGATTAGGATTATTAAAACTTCCAGAAAATCCAAGAGATAGATCATTATAGTCATAAATATTGTATCTAATATTATAATCTATATAAAATATTAGTAAATAAGTACATATTACTGTACTTAATATAAAAAATATATTAATAAAGTACTTAACTAATGTATTAATAACAGATTTTTTATTATCTATTAAAAATAAATAAGTATTATAAGTAATCTGTACAATTAAAATGATAATAAGAAATACTGAAGATAAATCAGATACAAGAGATAAGCTTATAAAAATAGATCTATAAAAAATATTATCATTAAAAAGTGCATAAATTGAGAAGATCGTAGCACAGGGCGGTTTGAAATCTGGCAGTGAGAAAATCAGACATGACAAAATTGTTGAAAAGTTATTGTTAAGAAGTAATAAACATTTTAAAATATAAATAGCATAATTAGAAAAGTGTACGGGAATCACCTCATATAAAAAGAAATCAAATAATCCATTAAAAGGAGGATTATTAAATAATACAAATGTGTTATGTTTATAACTATCAATCACCTTCATATCTAAATCTATATTTGCATTTTTAATGCTAAGAATGACTATTACAATCCATACACTTAATTCTAAATATTTCATTTCAAGGGTCACGAGGTAAATAAAAAATTTAAAGATTAAAAATCAACAACTAAATAATATAAACATTATTAAATATTGTATAGATACAATTATATAAAAGAATACTTATTATAACAATCTTCAAGATTTGTAGAAAGTTTACATCTAAATATTTATTTATTTTTTAACCCTTCTTTTTTAAAATTTGTAGTTTTATTTTTCTCAATAAAGCGATAATAATATGTAAAGTAGTAGTACACATTAATATTATGAATGCATATATATGTTATATAAGGAATACACATTAATGTGACACAAGAAATGCATATCAATGTAACGCAAGAACCATTTTTACTTTAAAGTATAAAATTGCTAAAAAAGTATGTGCCTTGTCCTTTGTCAAAATGCTGCTCTACAATTTAATACTATTTTATCTTTATGCTGCATAATTTATTGCCCTTGTAATGCATCATATTTATATTTTATTTTTAATAAATGTCAACTGTCAAAGCCCACTTAAATTAAAAACAATGACACATTGTGAAAAAACACAATATTATGACACTTTGAATCATTAGTATAAAATGATATGAGATGTTTAATTTTATGAATAATTTGATATGTAAAATTTTTAATTAACTTAAATTTTCATTATTAAATTTTATTTCTATTTAAAAAAACAATGTTGAACAAGATATCACATGCTAGTGTTACTTTATAATTAAAATGTCGAAATTTTCTATATAAAAAATAATATACAACAAGACTGTGCATGCTAGTGTTACTTTATAATTAAAATGTCGAAATTTTCTACATAAAAAATAATATACAACAAGACAGTGCATGCTAATGTTATTTATAAAATTTTAATATTTACTTTACCATTTTTGATTTACTTATTATCTCCTCATCTGATTCACTTCCATCACTAACAATTTTCATTCTTTTACTATTTTTCCTCTGCTTTTTTTTAAGTTCTTTTACAAGATCTATTTCAACATTTTCATATTTAAAATTATATCCTAATCCTATACGACGTGGTAAAAAGTTTTTCTGAATTTCACATGTTGTAAATCGTGAATGTTCAAGTAGCTTTTTTATTTTATCTAAAAACATTAGTAGGGGAAATAAATGTAATAAAATTTATTAAGTAGTTCAAAATACATAATCTATACTTTTTAAAATCTAAATAAAAATTTATCAAGTAATAAAGTTAAGCATACTCCTAAAAAGATATAAAAAGCAAAGTACATTAAATACACTTCCCTTTTCTCAATATTTTTAGCTTCTATTATTTTATTTCTTGTTTGTACCAATTCTTTATCTATGTCTGTATTAGTATATTCTAATCCCATAAGTTTTACAGTTCCTTTGTTTAACAAGGCTGTGTTACTGTCAATCTTTTTTATTTGTCTATTAAGAATATTTACAGTTGATTCAAGCACATCAGGAATATCACTTTGTGCAACAAAAGAGTCCCTCTTCTGGAATAAATTATATAACTTTTATCTCCAAGTTTTTACTAATAATTGATTCTGTCTTGTATATGTTCCCTTATCATATAAATCTTGTTCATATTCACTTATAAGATGTCTAATTCTATTAATAAAAATACTTAAATCTTCTTCTGATTTAAATTCATTTTTTTCTAATTCTTTTTCAATAACATTTTGCATAAAAAAGGGTACAGAAGTGAGGATGTAAAATACAAAAAAATTTGAAAAGTTTTAAAAAAATTAGTTATATTTTAATTATAAAATTATACAAAATATGTTTCTAGATCATATTTTATATGTTACGTTTTAAAATATTTTTCATTTAACATGCTTATATCTTTTTAGTTATTTCTGTGTTAGATAAAAACATAAATAAATTTGATACATTGAAAGTATTCTAATTCTTATTATCTCTTAGTGAATATGATAATGACATTTTTACACTCTTGAAACATAATAAAATGTGCTTTATATTTGCATCACAGTTCTTAAAACACTTATAAATTATAAAAATTTATTATTTTTTTTACTAAATATACAGATTTCTAAGCTAATTTCGCATGATTGTAAAATGTACAGGCTTTTGAAACTTTGACATTAAAAATTGTAAAAATATCATATTATTCTAAGAATATTCATCTTATAAAACAATTAAATGCTTAAAATATACTTTGTACATTAAAAAATATTATAAATTTTTCTATGTTATGTGATATTCCAAGTACTTTTACCTTAAATATTTCTAACATCTAAAACTTTCTTATTTTTTAAAAATGTAAGGGATGATAAAAATCAATTTTTATTTTAATAAACCTTTTTTAAATAAAATTGAAGGCTATTAAAATACAATTATTATTTTTAGGAGGTATTTTAAAAATAAAATTTAAATTTTGTGTAAAACAATGTTTTAAATTAATGGTTAAAAAATCAACTTTCATTAAATAAAAGACAATGTTTAAATAAATAAAAAATCAAAATATTTTTACCAAAATTAAAATCAAATTTCACTTTATAAAATTTTCTAGAATAAATTTCACAATTGTTATGACACATAATGATCTTTATGCTAATTTTATTAAGCATAATTTATTATTCTAAAAACTACAATGTATTTTTTGGTAAACTTTTAAAATTGTACAAAATTTATTAATTTAACATCTGTTAATTTTAAACTTTAAGTTACAAAAACAAAAAGTTTTATAAAATATCTTTATATATAATTTTTTCTTATATTTTGATACATTAAAATATTTATGTATATTACTAAGTTACATGTATAAAATATCATAACAAGACTACTTGTTTATTTTTGTTTATATTTAATTTACTATCTCAATAATTTGTAAAAATTAATAAAATCGTGATTTATTACTTTTATGCTTCTAGATTTCTGATAAATTTTTAATTAAATTTTTACAAATTATTGAGATAGTAAATTAAAAAAATTGATTTTTCTAAAATATACGTCACGCCTTTTAAATAGTAAAAATATTTAAAATATTCTTTTTGTTTGTTAGTAAACAAAAAGTGCTTCTATTTGTATTTTCTGTTTACTAGTAAACTTAATTAAATTTTAAGTATTTAATCATTTTTACAAAATATCAGAGTAAATATATCATGACAAAAGATAAAGAAAAAAATAAGGAAAAAAAGTATACTGATAATATAGACTATTATACATATATGAAGACAGAAGATTCTAATAATCAAAGATACAATAATTTTGATGATATGAATGAGTTTTATGAGTATGAAAGAAATGGATATAATTATAAAATGTATAATGATGATAGGTATTATGATCCTCATCCCACTTATGAAGGCGGATATACTTATGATGATAGGTTTTATAAAAAAGGCTATCAGTATGATTATCCACCATATCAGAAGGTGCATAGAGAGCTGAAAAGAAAAGCTAAACAAAGAGTGTGTTCGAATTGTTCAACTACTAGTACACCATCTTGGAGGCGAGGAGAAAACGGGAAGTCTCTTTTATGTAATGCGTGCGGATTATATCAAAAACTTCATGGTCGTGCACGTCCCTACACTATTACATCTAGCGGTAAAACAAAGGCGCTTAAAGGTGGATATGAAAAGACTTTGTGTGTCAGTTGCAATACCCCGTATTTAATTACAGAATTAAAAGGAGGAACTACGCAAATATGTGATAGCTGTATTACACAAATTAAAAATACTAATGAAACAGATATGATGGATTATCAATATTATAGATATGGAAATTATTACAATTATTATCATAACACCGATGTAAATATTGAGAATACAGTCGATGTAAATAATACTATATATGAAAATCTACAGCGAGAGGATGATAAAGAACTATAATAAAAAGTTGTATAATTATATTTTTAAAAATTTTATGATAGTGTAATAAATCTAGTTATTATGTTTTGATAAATCAACACTGATTACTAATTTAAGGTTTAAAAGTTTAATTAAAATATGTTGTTATTTAAAAGCTTAATTAATGTGCAATTTTTTTATAAACTTAAATGAAAGTATTGAACATTGGTTTAATTTTAGAAAATATTAAAATAGTCAAACATTATTATACTAGTAATTAACGTAAATTATTTAATTAAATTTTGTATGTAATAAAATTTATGGGTAATTACAATCATATGTAAAAAAATCATATGTAATTTTGTATTTAAATAAAGATCTTATAATAAAAATTTGTATGTATATAAAACATATGTAATTAAATTTTATATGTAATAAAATTTATATTAATAAAAATTATAAGTAAAAAAAATTTTATATGTAATAAAATCTTATTAATAAAATGATATTTTTTTGAACTATAACTCACTTACGCTTTTCCCCTTTAAGTGTAACTCTTATTTTCTTGTTTTTTATTTTTAATCCATCACCATATTTTACCGCTTTATATGCTCCTATCTCTCTCTCATAATTTATAAATCCTTTATTATTTTTTATACCACTCGACAAAATACATCCATATTTACTAAAAAATCTTAAAAAATCCATTTCAGTGAGATCTTCTGGTACGTTGTACACAAAAACACATTTAGAGTCATCGTACATACACTCTGATTTTAATGTATTGCGTATATTAAGTAATTTATCCTTATAATGTATTTTATTATTAAGATCTAAAAGTTTTATAGCATCCTTTTTATTTTCAAATACAATAAATAACACATTCTTAATAAATTTACTGTGTTCTATTTTGCCGTAATAACTAAAATAAGATGTAACATCTACTAAATCACTGTCTAGTGGTAAATTAAAAATAAATACTTTAGAGTCTCTGTCGTAAGCATAATCTACAATAAGAGGCTTACAATTATTGTAAACCTTACCATTAGTACTATTTATAGCAGTAGCGCATTCATTTCTGTTCTTGTATGTAATAAAATAATTTTTTTCTGATTTTGTGATGTTTAGTATCAATCCATATTTTTCGTATATCGTTCTTGTGTCTTCTACTGTAAAATTAGGTGGTAGATTACTTACAATTATTTTTGGCATATAAAAAGAGGGTAATTTTGTTGAAAGAAATATTATTTTGGACTACTACGTGCGAAAAAAAGATTTAACTATGTGCGAAAAAGATTAAATTATATTTGAAAAAGAAGTTAAACTATTGAGATATAAAAATATCAAATATACAAAAATTACAGTAATTTTTAACACTTTATCTATAATATACAAAAAATATTGAATTTCGCACTTTCTCTTTTATATACAAAAAATATTGAATTTTTAACACTTTATCTTTAATATACAAAAACTCTCTAAATTTTACACCCATGAAAATTAACACTATTTACCATTCAGAACAAGAATATACTAAAGAAAGAAAAAGGGACTTAAGTCATACTAAACATTCTAAAAATCCTATACACCATCCTTTTATTAAAGAAAGAGAACTTGTCCGTGCAATAAATACAACAAAACTAAACAGACTTTTTGCTAAACCATTTGTAACTGCATTGTCATTCCACAAAGAAGGTATAAATTTTATGGTAAAATCCAGTAAAAAACCGTTAATTTTATCTGCAAGTTTTGATAATAACGTTATTTTAAGTAACTTAGAATCACGATCTATGATTTCTAGTTTTGATATAAAATCGAAAGTTAAAGGTATAGGCATTGATTTATTAGATAACATTTATATTGGTCAGAATAAAACAGTAAAAAGAATGGATAATAATACGATTTATTGTTGTAATTCTGCCGTAAATAATATACATGTAGATGATAACCTGTATGTTGCATCATATAGTAGCATTAATGTTTATGATTTGGAGATGAGATCTAAAAAGGTAGAAATTTCTATTCAAAATGCTGATGTTATTACACACAACCCTTCATTCACCCATTTAATAGGATTTGCTAATACTGAACGTAATTTCATAGCAGACATGCGAATTGAAAAAGTTGTACTGGAATTTTTACTACCCAATAAAACAAATATGCTATCTTTTAGTCCATCAGATGGCTATTTCGTCGCATCCGCTAATGAGGACAGTAATGTATACATTCACGATCTCAGGTTTATAGACACCCCTTGTAATACTTTAAGAGGCCATGTAGGAGCAGTCACGTGTGTAAAATATAATCCTAGTGGTACAGAAGTGTGTTCTGGAAGTTTTGATCAATCAATTAGGATTTTTAGAACCAATGAAAGGAAATCAAGAGATATTTATTATAATCAAAGAATGCACAACATTTATGGTCTAGAATATTCAAATGACGATCAGTTTATTATTTCTGGTAGTGATGATGGTTCAATACGTTTATGGAAATCAGATGCGAGCAAAAAGTCAGGACCTCTCAGTAAAAAAGAAAAAGATGTCCAAGCACTAAGTAAAGTTCTTATTGAAAAATACAAGAATGTTAATGAAGTTGACAGAATTAATAGACATAGATTTGTACCAAAGCTACTTAAAAATAAAATGAAACAGAAACACGAACATTATGAAGCAGAAGTAAGGAAAGGACATATAAAGAAAGGTAAATGACATTTATTATTTTTAGTTATTAAATATTTCTTATTTATTTTTTCTATTTCTATTACTTAATGCTATTACATTTTGTAAATTCTTCTTATTTATTTCTTTACTAATTAAAAAATCTACTGATTTATCTTTGTTAGATCTCTTGAAATATTTTGTAGGCTTTTTTGTTATCTTAACTTTTTTAAGTGGCTTTTGTACCATAAGGGGAAAATAAAAAATTATTTATTTGAGAAGTAATTTTATTAATTAGCTATTTGTGCTAGTATTAGCTTAAAATCAGCGTAGCTTGTCTAAACGTATTGTATATTTATTCCGTCTGTATTACAATAAAAATACTCTCAAGTAAAAGTTATTTACTAAAAAACGAGTAATTACTTATTGTAGAATGAAAAATTGGTTTAACTTATTGTGAAATGAAGAAATATACAATAATTGCCCAAAAAATTAATCACTAAAAAAAACGGATCATTAAAAAAATAATTACTTTACAAAATAAACTGTCAAAAAAACAAACTATCAAAAAAGTCAACCTTAAAAAAACAGACTGTCAAAAAAATCATCCATAAAAAATTAATCAACTTTAAAATAAATTAATTTTAATCAATCATAATTTTTCTAAAATATCAAATATATTAGACTTATCAACTATAATTCTCGTCCACTTACTAATCAACCCATTTTCAACCATTTTGTTATATTTTTGTTTATTCACAGTGGTGACATCTTGCACTTCTTCAGTATTTAAAACAATATCTACAGTCTTTTTACATACAAAAATGTAATCAATTTCCCATTCAAAGAAATCTTTACTGTATTTTTCTACTTGTAAATTCTCACCAATTTCAAACTCCTTGTATTCCTGCGCACAAGGCTCTCCTTCCAATAAATGCCCGAAATACTTAGTATCTGTTGCCATGTACCACACTCGACCAATATACTGTAATTCTTCTTCTTTAATATTATTAATACCAAGCTCATAATTCAGTCGTTTTATTAAATGATTTTTAGCATCCAATATAGGATCACTAAATGACAATGGATTAAGAAATGGGTGAGAACATACAGTATTAGCCCAAATACCAGGAAATACCAATTTATCATTAGATCTTTTTTGTAACACTAACGAATTTTCATTATCAACTAAAAATAGTGAAAAGGCCCTATGTAATGTTAAGAAAGATTTATGATGCCCTGTAAGTGCTTTAACAGTACCTATAATATTATCATTATTATCTACTACAATAAGATTCTTGTTGTAATTATCCATTTAGGGGCTAGAAATATTTTAATTAAATAGATTACAGAATTTAATTAAGATAATTTATATTAAAAAACAAAATGATAAACAACAGTATAAAAATATCATTTATTTAAATAATAAGGATATAAATACACCATTATTAACAGATTAATTACTGATAAACTTATTTCTAAAAATATTTTCTTTTTAAAGAAAAATATAAAAAATAAGGCTTCTAAAATAAAAGTACCCCCTACTAAAAAATAGTGCACAGGATTCTTAAAATATCTGAGTAAGAAAAGTCGCATACAGAATAATGGAATAATAAATATTACTATATTATTATACTTTGATATATTAATAAGTGTTTTACATATGGAATAGATCTTAAAGTAAATTGACAGGAGTCCATTATTGATTTTCATGGGGTAAAAAAAATAACTAAAAACACTAAATAATGTTATGTAATAAGTTTATAAACATTTCATGTGTGTTAAGTCTTGTATTATTTTATATGTCAAGGAACAATAATGTTTTATTTTAATCTATAAATTTTTAAAAATTTTCTAACCCATGCAGGAAGAAAGCAAGTCAAATAAAAGTATTATTGTCTTATATACTATCATTTTCAATATTAATAGTTAAAAGTTTATAATAATTAACAAAATTTAATTTTTATTTAAATAATTGATAAATTAAAATTAATACTAAATAATTATAAATATTTTAATTTGAACTATAAAAATAATTATTATAATTATGCTTTATAAATATAATTTTTACGTTTTATATTTTATACTTAATTGTAAGGTAATAAATACAATATGAATTGTGTTTATTTAATACATTTGATTGTTTAATTCGTTTTGTTCTAGCATTTCTTAAGACTTAAATTTTTATGTTTAGAAAGACAAATAAGTGTACAGTACTGTAAAAGATTATGAGTAAAGAAATAATGATATGACGGTAACTGTTATTTTTAACAAAATACAATACTTATTGTTATTAATAATGCTATAACATCTATTAATAAATCATATTAAATAAATAAGTTTATTGGACTAAATTAAATTATTGGTTAATTAATAACCAATAATAAAAAAAGTATTTTAAATAACTCCTTTCTGTTTTGAAATATGGATAATTCAAATCGTACAGGTTATGTAGACTTCAAAACCAATATAAATGGCACAGACACTGATATCAAAATATTAGAAACACTGACTCATGTATTTATATATGTAAATCAAGCAGAAGAGCAGGTGAATTTATTTGATGACGAGTTGAAGAAAATATTAAAGAAAAAGGACATAAAAAGAAAAAAGAGCTTAGAAGTCTTTTGTAACTTAAAAAGTAGAGATAATTTAAATGACATAAGTGTTTTTCTTCACAAACTTTTTATTAAATAAATTTTATAATGTTTTGATATTTTGTTATTTAGTAAAATCAATATAACCAATTTAATTTTAGTACTAATCAATAAAACAATAAGTTTAAAAAAGGATTTTTTTAATAAACATAATAGTATTGTTTAATGTAAGAGATGGTAAAAATATTATTTAATAAATTTTTTTAATGTAAGTGATAGTAAAAATATTATTTGATAAATTTTTTTAATGTAAGTGATAGTAAAAATATTATTTGAATTTTTAACCATTTAACATAAATGTATTGTAATATTAACCATTTTAAAAATGTTAAATAATCAATTATACACTCACATTTTTATAATTGGTTAGTATTAATATAAATATTTAATACTTTTAATATTAATGGATAAACAAGCAAATATTAGTAACAATAATATTTTTAGATACAATACATTTATAGACAGTACATTTATTAAATATATTAATAAAATAACTTGTTCATCAATATCTAACAAGAATATAAAAGAACTCACTTTGCATAGAAAATATATGTACAAATATAAAAATACTTGTGATAAACTTATATTGTCAAATAACATGTTAAAACATGCTAGTAATAATAATATATCATTACATGCTAGTAATAATAATATATCATTAAATTCTAGTAAAGATAGTAAGAGAAAAAAGATATTTGTCCTTCTTAGCATATGCACATTTATGATGCTTTTAAGCTTATAAACACTACTTATAAATTTTTACTCAATAAAAAAAAAAGGTATTAAATAAATTATATTTATTTTGACAGTAAAGTGTACATAAACATTTTCAATATCACATTTCTGTAATAAACATCTATTAACATAATTTTAAAAATACAAACTGTAATAAAAACATTTATAAAAATTCACAAAATTTTTATTCGTTTGTATGTATTTCATCCAATTAAATGTACAGTAATATTTTATAAATGTACCAAAAATTATTAATATACATTTTTCATATCATCTATTAACTTATTAATTCTTCTTTCTTTATTATTACACTCTTTACTAAGCACTAAATATTCATCCTCCAGTAACTTTAACTTATCTTCTAAATGTGTTATATCATCTTTTAGTTCTTCATTCCTTGTATTTACAAACTCAATAAGCTGTAACTTATCTTCAACAATGTATGACTCAAGTATTTCTTGTATATAATCCTCATCATTGATATCTTTTACATCTTGATTATCTTTAATAAGAGAATCAAGTGTATTAAGTTTATTTTCTAAATCATATTCTTTAATCTTTTGTTTAAAAAGTTCAGATAATTTACATTTTAAAGTTTCTATTCTTTCTTTATAATTAGTAGAATTAACAGTAGTGTTATAAAATGAATCAATGGATTCAGATGGTTCAATATTTATACTAAGCATTTCTTGTATTGCTTTTTTATAAACTAACTTTAACTTTGAAAAACGTGCTCCAGATTTCTGCATAAGGGTTGTAAAATAAAGGATAAATATTTTATCTAACGCATAAAATATTAAGATTTAATAGAAAAGGAAGGTTTTGAATATTGGAAAAAAAGATTTATAAAATAAAAGTGTGGTATAATTTATTATATGTCAATTATTTTATTTTACTATGAATATTTATTTGAAGGTTAGTATTTTCTTTTATATTTGACTTATTGCTTCAGTGACACCACTGAACAAATTTGGTGATAGATTCTGCTCTCCTCCATTCTCTGGTACATTCATGTCACCCCTTCTTCGGTGCTCCAACGAGATACTCTCAAGAGTCTTCTTAAGTTTTTTTTTACTATAAATATTTATTTTTATTTTAACCCATCAGAATTACAGAAGAACAAGAAAATAATCAAAAGAATTTTTAGTGGCTGTAATATCGCAGAAAAAAAGCACATGTTTAAATTAAATTTTATACTAGCATAAAAAGACTAGTCATTTTATCTACAGAAAATAGTGTATAATGCCTTTTTTTCATATTGGTTGTTTATGGAGAAATGATATTTTACGTTTTAACTTAATTTTTACATCAAAACTGTGGTTAAATAATTGATAAATTTGTTTTCTTGCTTTATTATTCTGTCAAAAATCTTAATTAATTTTAATTTAATAAAATTCTTTTACAATAAAAAGATGTGTTTTCTTTTTATTGATAATTGCATAAATTTGACATTTTACGACCTGTAAACACAAAATTATAAATAAACAATTAAAATTAATTCTATAAAATTTCTTTACATTTATATTAATACAAAAAAGTATACTTTATTATTAATTTGATATAGTATGCAAATTAAAAATTAAAAATGATATAAAAACAAAAATAAACCAAACAAATTTTGTATAAACTATGTTTTTATAAATTTACATTAAGATACTAAAATTTAAAAATTTTTATTTATTTGTTTTTATATTTAAAAATTGTTAATTTATTTTTTAAATGAATAAGGGAGTTATATACTTTTTTATAAGTATTACATTCTATCTTCGACTTATTACAATATGCTACGTAATTAAGATTACAGATATAGTTAACTTACCCATCTACAGAACAGTACTTTTAAAATCAATTTTAATGGCCACTTACACTTACTGTTATATTTTTTATATTGTCCTTACGAAAAATATATTCCAACTTAAACTGTACAAAATTTTTTTACTGATAAACATGATAGACATTTATTTTTTATTTACTTGTTTAAATATAAATTATTATATTATATTTGTATATCAATTTCTTTTAATTCTAGATATTTTTATAGAGATGTACTGTGTACAAACATTTTATATGGAATTTATGAAATTGTACGTAAAAAAAGCTGGTGTAAATTTTTTTACATATAAAGCGTACATTGCGAAACAGAAAGCGAAGTTTTGTATTATAATTTATATGATGCATTTGTTATTAGAAATGTTTTTTGATCGCTCGATGGTAGATTTTAGTAAGCTGGTGCTTATATTCATTCTTTATTTATCATTTTTTAAAAACAACTTAAAGTCTAATTTTATACGTTTAACAATTGTTACTAAAATGTTACATATATTATCTAATCTGTACATTTTACTGACTAATACTAGATTTCATAATACAAATGTTCTTTATAGGGCTGTATTTGGTGATCAACAAAAACTAAGTTGTTATTGTAAAATAATAACATCAACTATTAATTCATCACTAATAGAAGGTTTAAATAACTTGTATGAAATGATGTTATTGTGCTTTTTAATATATTATTGTATTAAATCAAAATAAATTCTTATATAAAAGCATTTTTTTAAAATCAATATAAACTTAAATTAGCTAAAAAAATTAAACTATAAAAAAACATAATAATTTATTATATTATGGTAGATACAACCTGTTAGGTAATAATATATTATTACAACTATTAAAAATATTTTAAATTTTTAAATAATGGAAAATATTTCTTTTTCTTGTGTAATTTTAGCAAGTCAAATATAAATTGATTACGTTTATTATATAATCTCAAATATGCTTATAAATTATATTTTTCTAACATATTTACATGATACACGTTTTATGTCTATTCTTTGCAAATTTATAGTATAAGTTAACAGTAAGGCACTTTATTTTTTTGTAAATATGAGTTAAAATTGGAGGACAGTAGAGAAGCAGATATAGGTTGATATGTTTGTTTTATAATAGTAATTTATAAATAAACTTGTGTTTTATTTTAAAAAAATACCTCTACAATGATAAAATTTAGTAAAGTCGTATTTTTTTATATGTATTAGCTACAACAAAGAATTTTAATCCTTTTCCCCTTATTAAAAATTATAAATTTACACCTCTTTTTTTAAATGTATTAGCTACAGCAAAGAATTCTAATCCTTTTCCCCTTATTAAAAATTATATATTTACTCAATTTAGTGATGAATCATCCTTTTTCTAAAACATTTATGTTATAAAAATATTTACCCCTAAAAAAAACAATGGGTTTAGTAAACAAGATTTTTAATTCTTTTTCAGGATTATACAACAATATAAATATAGTAACATTTAGTGGAATAAATGATATAATTGTTGTTAAAGATCAATATGGTGAACTTAGATGTTCTGATTTTCAGTTAAGATTTGGTAAACTTTATTTCCCCAATATGAAAAGTCAACAGGTACATTTAATAGTTAATGGTAAAGTTATACACGATATTCCAATGTTCATAACTCCTCAAGGAGAGTTATTCTTTGAGAAACATGATAACACTGATGAGGATATTCAATATGATGATATACTAGGATATATTAATACACTAGATAAAATTAAAAAGGACGGTATTGATGACTATTTATCGATGCATTTTAGTAAAATGAATTTAGGAAATTCTAAAGGAAGAGAAGATTTAGTCAAAAAAACAAAAAAATATGTTAATTATTACCGCACTGAACGTATGCTAAATTTTGACAAACGAACGTTTTTTTTAGGTTACAAAAAAATTTTAACTGATAATTTTTACGAGGACCAAGCTATGAAAATAGGTAAATTTAGTAATTTATTTAACTCTACAGATTATTATAATTGGTGTATTACTAGATTTAGACAAATATTATTGTTATTTAATGGATTATTTCAATATCCTCCCAGTTACAAAGGCCCTAAGGTGTGTGATGCCAATGGATGTTGCGGTGCAGAAATTACGTTTTCTAAGTGCGCAGATCGTAAATTTGCGCATTCTATTCATAAAACGTTCGCTTCTTTTTTATGTAAAAATTTAACGGAAGAAAAAGGTATTGTTGTACGAATAACAGGATGTTCAAAATGCAAAGGAGTATTTTACTTTCCGTATGTTTTATTTACAAAATTGTTTTTTGAGTTAAGAGGTGTTACGAATAGCAGATCTAGAAAACTTATGGAATTTTTAGAAAATCAACATAATAAATCTGTTGGATGGAATTTATTTGGTACGAAGAAAGTTCTTAAAAGAGATATTTCTTATTCATTAAAGTTAAATCATAAGGAATTAAGTAAATTGGATCTTAAATACGGTAAAAATACTATTATTTTTAAAGTGGGTGGAGTAAATAAACAGTTAGATGGACATATCTACTTTTGGGATTATGACGAGAAGGTAATTATTAGCGATATAGATGGTACAATTACTAAAAGTGATTTATGGGGACATATCTACTGTTTAATAGGAAAGGATTGGACACATGGAGGTGTCGCTAGTTTATACAGTAAATTATATAGAAGTGGATATAAAATAATGTACTTGACTGCACGCCCACTTCAACAGTCATTTAGTACTAAAAAATATCTTACAAATGTTGATCAAGATGGAGCGAAATTACCCGATGGTCCTATAATTTTATCTCCTGATGGATTATTTGCTGCGTTGTACAGAGAAATTATTATAAAACGACCTGAAGATTTTAAAATTGCTTGCCTTGAGAATTTAAAAGGAATATTTGGCGGGAATAATCCTTTTGTAGCAGGTTTTGGAAATAGGATTACTGATATCATAACTTATAAATCAATTGAAATATCTCCTATACGCATATTTACAGTCAATGAATCTGGAAGACTGTATGGTGAATTTATAGGAGAACTTACTAGTACTTATAAATCTCTTAATGATTTTATGGATTCATTATTTCCACCAGTAAAAAAGGGAGAATCGCCATTTACAGATCATGAAATAACTGATGGGTTTTATTGGAATTATTGAAGTGTATATGTTTCACATTTGATAATAAAGTTTGTTTATTATTTTTGTTAAAATTTAAATAATACTGTATTTTTAATTAACAAAAATGTGTGTAAATGCAATACCCTTTGGGCGGGGTGCTAAACTTGAGATGATTTTCTAAATTACTGTAAATAAAGTCAGTTATTTTATTAAACTTGATATTTCTGTTCTTAAAGTTTTACTAAAAAAAATAATTGTTGTTATCTGCGTAGTACTTTTTCATTTTCTTCTTTTTGTTGGGTGACACAAATAATTTCTTTTAAAATAAAAATTAAATAGAAATATGTGGTCAGGTTACCACAGTTAATTTATAAATTAATCTTTATACACCCGCAATTTTTTTATAATTACAAGATTTAATTAGATTTATAAAATTTAAAGTTAATAAATACAGCAAATAAATCGAAATTTGTAATTTAATTAATAGTTATATTTTATTCTTTTTTGGTCTATTTAAATACTGTAATGATTTAGACTTTTTAAATCTTTTTGGTTTCGAATTTTTACCACCTGGTACTTTTTCGCGTTTTAAAGTTGACTTTTCTGGTTGAAACGTTTCACGCGTATCATTTATTACAAAATTTTCTTCTTTGCCTATTATTTTATTGGAAATTGAATCTTGATCAGTGGTCGGCAAATCTTCCAAATTTTCTGGAATTTTTTCTCCTATATCTTTAAATTGTTCAAAAAGATCTTCTTTGTTGCTTAAAATTTTATTTCTTCCTGAACAGTTCTGGACCCTGTCAATAAACCCATTGTTAATTAAATTTTGTGAAAAATTTTGCGCATCTCCTAAATTAACAATTCCTAATGTTTTTGGTATTTTGGTGCTCATTAATTCGCCTAAATATCTTTCTATAGCTCCATAAATGGATGATATTGTATCTAATTCTAAACTATTACTTTTATTAAATGTTGTAATGTATTTACTAGCACATGGATTTTTTAAATTAAAATATACATCACTTTGATCCACTTGCGTCGAGGCAATAAGTAAAATGTTCTTTTGTTTGTTGACTAAAACACTCATCATTCCTGATAGGTTGTCAGTGCCACTAAATTTTATTAAATCTTTGTAATCAGCATCTTGTGAATACAACGAATATGGAAGGGCATCTTCTAAAACCAGTTTTATTCCTACCGGCTTGAGATAAACATTATATTTATCAAAAAGGGCTATTATTATGTCTTTATAAAGATATTCTAACTCTGGTTTTACCTCTATTTCATATAAAATGGTTATAAATAATGGTATACAAGTAATTGACATTAAATTTGAAAGCATAATATTTATAAATGTTATTATCTCTTAAATTAAGGTAAATTGTTTTAAAATGTTATTGTTTTGATACTGATTTAATAAATAAATAATAAATAAATTTTAATATTCTTAAATTAATTTTATGCATAAATTAATATTTGATGATATAAAAATTGGAAAACAATATGTAGAAATAGCAAATATTGCTTTTTTATCGTAATTTTTAATTAAATTGCGGTAAATAATCTTAAGTTTTATTCTAATACAATAAATATTCATTTAATAATTTACAGCTCTTACTAAGTGTAATTTAGTTTAAATTTAAGAAACTTTTTATGAAAAATGTTCTTAAAATATCAATAATAATTTTTGTAAAAAAAAGTAGTAGAAATTATATTTATCATATTTCTTATAGAAAAAATAAAGAATATATACAATTTATTGCATTTTAAAATATTTTTAAACAAACAATTGCATTTACTTATTTTAAAATTTATACTTTTTTATTAATTAATTTAAAATTTAAAATAATTATTCAAACTTCAATATAAAAATTTATGTATAAATACTAATTTAATTGGGTATACGATCACATCCATTCCTAAATAATAAGTCATAAGCATCATGATCAACAAAATAATTAATTTGCACTCCTCTATCTCCACCATCATCTTCTTTAAGTGATACAGGATTATTAATCGGACATCCCGCTGCTGCCATAAGTGCATTTGCAAATGTAAGTTCAAATTTGGGTCTTTCAGGTTCCACAAAACTTGCCATACGCTGAACACACGTTAGATTATCCCTTTGTATTAATAACGGTGTCTCCATGTTGGCATTACTGAAATAATCAAAATAAGTACTTGAAGGACATGTATAAAAAGCTATTACATTATGTCTGGTATTCATATTGTGTAAGTTCTGTAACTGAGTAAATAAGATATCCACATTCTGTCCACATTCATCGAGATCTATCCCTCTAGGTGTTTCTGTAAGCACATTTATAGAAAATTGAAGGGCAGAATATTTATTGGTTGCTTCATTTCCGGCTCTTTGGTTAAGATTTGCTTCTAGCTTCTGTCTAACTTTATCCATAGCACTTTCTAGATCTTCCATTCGTGTTGAGTACTGCTCTTTTCCTTTTTCACTAATATAAATATCAACAGGTACTGTGATTACATTTGCAAACCCGGCTTTAACAAGTGACAATGTAATTAGAACAGTGATTACAGGAATCATAAAAATGTAGCACATTCTAAATTTATATATTTTTTAGTTTAAAACAGTTTTAAAATTGAAGGTTTCAAATATTTAATTTATCAACAATTAACCAATAATACAGAAATAATAAATTTATTGTTTTTCTAATAGTTTTTTATTATCCTCCATTCCTTTTTCATATTCTTCTTTAAATTTTTTTGTATCATCCTCATTATCAAATTTCACTAAATAAAATTTAGTCTTTTCATTGTCATCCTCAACAGTATCTTCTGTGGTGCACCACACCCATCCATTTTTAATATTATTATTTTTTATTAATTTATGTTTAGGATTAATATAATGATGACAGCCAAACCTAGAAATAGTTTCTCTTATCATTACAACTTTGACCATATTAGTCTTTTTCTCAATATTAATCATAATATCGCCTGTTCCTCTCTCTTCATACTTCTTTTTTTTTTTATTAAAAATAAAAAGATTACATTTAGATTTAAAAAGTACTTTATCTTGCAAATTTTTTTCTATAAAACTTTCCTGGATACATTTCAATTCAAAATCTTCTGTTCCCGCATCTTTATCTTTATCCTTAATAGTTATACTAGAGGTAAGAAAAGATGACTCCTTTTTTTTATTATCATTTACAGAAATTTCTTTTTTTCCTCCTAAATCTAATGGCAAATCCTTTTTTTTATCACTATTTATTTCTTCTAAATCCAACGATAAATCCTTTTTTTTATCACCATTTACTTCTTTTTTTTCTTCTGAATTTAGTTTAATTTTTTCTTCTGCCATTTTTAAGGGATAAAAATTTTACTAAAATTTTAAGACAAGAAATGTTTTGCGAAAATAAAATGACCTTTACAATAAAATAATTTTATTGGTCTTTTCTCACACAATAAATTTTTATAAAAAACAGTTTTTAAATCTTATGGAAATACTTACTTCAAAACTTCAGACAATAGAACTTAACATTATTAACTGTAAGATTCAATGTTTAAAAAAAGAAATATCTCAAACTTTTCGTAAGTTATATTCATACCAAATAGAGAAATCTGAAAAAAATTTAAAAAAAGCAGATTTTAGGATAAACATTAAAAAAAGTTTATTAAGACTTAGTAAATACACGAATTATAATACTAATATATCACTACATTATATTCATAGAAATATCCATTTTTTACTGAAAATTTTAAAGAACAAAATATTAAATGATTTAAGTAATAACATTACCTTTAAGCTGATTATATTGGAAAAGGCGATTTATTGTAAAAAAGATACAATGTATTCGAATATTAGGAATACGGTTATTTATAAGGAAAAAAAAGATAGGGTTAAACGAAAAATTGAAATTATTTTTAAAGAATTAACAGAAAAAATTATAGTCAATAGCGAAAAATGTATAAATATGAACTTTAGTGGGCTTCAAAAATATTCATGGCAAAAATTTAATACTGCTAAGGTTTGTGTACATAAGATACTTGAAAAAGAGGACATGCCATCTTTTATCGAACCATCACAGCAAAGTATAAAAGAAGTAAACGGATTTATACCAAGTAAATATGAAATAAGCACATTTGATTCTAAAATAAGGGAGGCGGTTTGTACAGTAAATAAAATAATAAAAACAAGTAAACATCCTCTTTTATTTAATGAAAAAAGATGTTCGGTTAATAGCTTTATAAACATTTTATGGAATGAAAGAGTGTGCTTAGTAAATAAAAACAAATCATCTGCTACATGTAACAGTGGTGATTGTGTTTTTAACATAAATGGTCATAAAGATATTAAATTTATTAACAATATTTGTAAAGTAGAGTTACTTACAAAAAACAAACATGAAAATTTTTTAGATGCTGAAAGCACTAAAATAAGACAAGATACCCAAAGAATTGCTTATCTACATGAACATATTTGTTCAACGTTGTCTAAACTCAATAAAAAGATATTTAAATACATGTATACATCTCTTAAGGATTTATATTGTGATATCATTAAATTAAAGATTCTTATTACCTTAAAAGAATTACAGTACTATATCAAAGGTCAGACAGTTTGTAATAAAAACCAACAGAATAAAAGAAGTGACAAAAATGAATCAAAATACCATTTTATAATACAAAAAGGAAACCTGGAGTCAGACAAGAGATTGTTAGAAATGATGAAAGATACTTTGTGTGATATTGAAAAATACAAAGATCCTGTTATAATAAGAATGGGTATTCAATTCATCTTAGCCAAAAAGTATGTTGAAGATATTATTTATCTTAAAGAAAAATAAATATTTTTTAGTTTTACAAAATTATGTAGTTGTTTATTTAATCTGTGGTAGTATATTATATTAAAATCAAAATAAATCATCCGGTAATGATCTTTTGTGTTATATGTGAAGTTTTATTTAACTATACAATATTGTAATCTGTAGTATTATAAAAATCACCTTTGTACTTTCTAATGATAATTACTAAATTAACCATTCTAATATTTTTTTTATCCATCCCCTTTTATGCAAGGAATAAATTCAGATTTTTTTATAACTGATAATTATTTGTTTGTTAAAAGAAACAAACTGCTTATAAAATATTCACTATCTCATGAATTAATAGATTTTAAATCTACAGAATATCAAATTATTAGAATTTTTAATGATTTTGTGTATTTGTATAATGGATCAGAAATTTATAAAGCATCTAATTTCTACGATACAGATTCTTACTACAAAATTTTTGAAGAGAAAAATATTAAAGATTTTTATATTTTCAATGATATTATTTTTTTTATACACGAAAAAAATAATTTAATTTTTTTTAGAGAATTTGAAATTACATCCTACTGTTGGTCTGAAAAATTTTTATTTTTTTCTAATAAAAATGGACTTTTTAAGATCGATTTAATTACCAATTTTAAGTCTGTTATTACAGATATTCCTGTAGATTTAATTTATACAGTTGGAGATATATTGATTTACACTAAATCGAATAAAATTTATATAAATACACCTTCAGTAAAAAGAACAGTACACAAACACGATTTTAAAATTACTAATATGATTTTGAATGATAATCTGTTGTATATTTATACAGAAGATAATAAGTTAAGCATACTTAATATTTATAAAGATCATATTAGATATATAAATGAATATTCTAGTACAAACATAAAAATGTGTGTGTATAATAATTGTGTTTATATTCTTAATGACGTTGAATTGATTATTTATGACATTGAGACTGGTGAAGACAAGATTTTCTATAATGTGCCTAATATTTGTAAAAGTAAACTTGTATCAGAAGAGATTGAGAATATACATAGTGTTATTGTAGAACCTGTTTATTTTAATAATGATTTATATGATTCAATAGTAATATATAAAAATATTATATTTTTATTATCTAATGATGATCTATGTTGTGTTTATCGATTTGATAAAGTTTTATTAATTTTTTATACTGGTAAAAGTATTTGCGCTGTTTTTAGAAATAGAATTGAAGTTTATAGATTTATAAATAAAAAGTTAATGTTTATTAGAAGATTGAAAAGTACTAAACAGAAAATTGACAATATTTTGGAAGAAAATGAACTTTTTTATTTTATTTGTGGAAATAAGCTTATAAAAAATGATCTTATAAACATAATAATAGATGAAAGTTATAAATAAAATATTTATTTTTTGTAAATTAATTTAATTTTTACTAACGTTTTTATTATTAACTAGCTTGCGCTATCCCGTTTAAAACGGGACTCAAACTCGATACGTCCTTTCTTTGTTTAAATTATGTGTATATGTCTTTGTGCATGTATGTATTGTTTTTTTTTGAACATTGCACACTTTTAATTATAAAATGACAATAGAGCATATTTTACAATTTGAATAAAACTTAAGAAAATATTTTAAAAAGTTAAGCTCTATATAATATAATCAACTATGGAAGATTGTTATTTATTTAAAAAAACGTTTTCCAAAACTTGAAAAAAGAAGGGTTAAAAAATAAATAAATATTCAGATTCAAACCTTTTATATATATTGATAGCTTGCGCCATCCCGTTTGAAACGGGATTATAAATAAATAATATTCTTATTTTTCATTGTTTAACATGTCTTTGGGCTTGTGCGCATTGTTTACAGTATAAAATGTCTTACATTGAGATTGTAAAATTTGCAATAGCTACCATTTTGCACACACAAAAAAATTGAAAATTTCTAAGAAAATACACAAAACTCCGTAATATTCTGTTAGTAACAATTCCTTACAAATCCATAAATTGACTTGTAATGCTTTTACATGAAAAATTAAAACAGAATTTTACAAATTTTAAAAAAAGAAGGGCTAAAAAATAAATAAATGTTCAGATTCAAACTTTTTATATATATTGATGACTAGCTAACGCTATCCCGTTTAAAACGGGATCACAAATACAATGTGCGTTATTTCTTTTCAATGAATAAAATGTGCCTTTGTGTATATACATATATTTTTTTTTAAATTGCAAGTTGGCCCTTTTTATTATAAATTAAAATCTGCTAAAGACACCCGTATACATTTAAAAAAATTAAATAATATTTACCAAAAATGCACGAAAGCATTGTGCTATGCTTAGAAAATATCCCTTGAAATAATGCCACTCGTTCTTAATAAAAAATACAGAGAATTTTACAAATTTTAAAAAAAGAAGGGTTAAATAATAAAAAAATGTTCAGATTCAAACTTTTTATATATATTGATGATGACTAGCTTGCGCCATCCCGTTTAAAACGGGACTTAAACTCGACACGTGCTTTCTTTGTTTAAATTATGTGTATATGTCTTTGTTTATGTATGTATCGTTTTAAATTTGATAATTGTATTTTTTAAATAAATAAATTCAGTAATGGCGCACATTTTACAATTTGAACAATTGAATGAAGCTTAAAAAAATACATTTAAAAT